GATTATAACCTAATACTACTTTATTTATTTCAGTTGGCTCCTATATCCTTTTTTGACACACTCCCATCATTGTGTTTTTGTTTTTAGCACTTACAGAGGTATAGTGGGGTTTGAGAATTGTTAACCCATACATACCTCTGTGGGAAACATTCACTTAGAAGCAGTGGTCCTCAACCTTCCTAATGCCACGACCCTTTAATATAGTTCCTCATGTTGTGGTGACCCCCAACCATAAAATTATTTTTGTTGCTACTTCATAACTGTAATTTTGCTACTGTTATGAATCGTAATGTAAATATCTGATATGCAGGATGTATTTTCATTGTTACAAATTGAACATAATTAAAGCGTAGTGATTAATCACAAAAACAATATGCAATTATATATGTGTTTTCCGATGGTCTTAGGCGACCCCTGTGAAAGGGGTCGCGACCCACAGGTTGAGAACCGCTGACTTAGAGTATAGTGCACATGCATAGTTCCTATTGTCTTTCATTTTAGTTTCATTTTCAAAGTTACTTAGGTCAGTACCTTTTCCCTGGCCCCGTCAGGGAGGTTACCACTTACATTTCTAATACAGTTAGATTCTTTTGTTATAGCCTGCATTCCATCCTGGAATCCCCACTACCTCTTAATTATCTTCTTAAATTCTGCATACATTGTTTATTCTTTGTGCTGAAAAGCTCTCCGGGTTTTAACAAATGCATATAGTTTCACCACCCTAAAAAAAATATCCTCCATTCTACTAATCAACCCTTTCCCCTCCCCAAACTCCCCGTTTCTGTTACTTTTTCCTAGCAATGTTAGGAAGTGATGTACTTGACATCACTGCTTCTTATCCTTTCCCCTCACAACAACATGTTCACATTTATAAGCTCCTGTGATTCTCACTTCAATCCTGAGTGTTCCCACTTAGCAGATGATTGAATTAAACTCAGAGTAAGTGACTTGGTCAAGATCTCACTAAGTGGTGCTGGCACTATTAACTTGTGCCTTTCAACCCTTGGTGTGATGCTCTTTCTACTACACAGCACTGTGTCCTTGTTTTCAGCTGGGAGGGAAATGGCTGTGCACAGAGACAAGAAGAAGAGAAGAAAGAAACGATGAATGGCAGAGACAAATGGCAGGGGAAGTGGGGGGTTAGAGAGCAACCAAAGGACTTGTATGCATGCATATTAGCATAACCAATGGACACAGACACTGGGGCGGTGGGGGCTTGCCGGG